GTAACATGAGTGCATGTGAGCTGCATCATTGTTACTTCTGTATTGTTAGCCAGGCATGGGTGAAAGGTCAATATAATGAAAATAATAAATGTATAATGTTATGAGATTTAAGCTATTTACTTACACATATATTTGTGTATTTGTGTTATAATTTGTTGTCATTCTAGAATGAAAGAGGCATAATTTATATTTATTTCTTAATTTTTTAAGATGGTTACGAGATAAGTCTAATCTACTGAACCCATACAGAGATTCATTATTGAAAATAACAGATGAAATATAAAGTTTTTTCATAAGAAACATTTGATAACTATCTGGACATTATAAAGATTTCCCATGTGAAACATGAAAATTTTCTGATGCATAAAATTATCTTTAATTTTTAAATGAAAATTACTTTGCATGATAGATAGGTAACGTGCGAAAAGAAAAAAAGGCATGAGAAAAACATTGCTTTACAAACCTTAAGATGCGATAAAGAAATTGATATTTTGTGTATGAAAGCATTGTAATTTTTACTGATAATCTGCTAAATTTTGTTAACATTTGCTTACTAATTTAAAAGTTATAGCATGAAAACTATAACAAGCACAAAATGGTTACGAGGTCAGTTCCAGCGACTGAGCCCGTGCTGAAAGAGTTAACACTCATACAACTGTTTTTGCATCTAGTAACTGTTACTCTTCAAAGGTCTGTGAGTTCCTCTATTTGTAGTATCGTGACACATCTGTCTTTCTGTGGCAGCTATTGACTTTTGTATATCCTATGCTTCATTGTACCATGCATACTCAATGGGGATACACCAATTATGGGTTGGGGTGTGCTGTTCCAATAGTTTTGATAGTATAGTCTGTACATCTATATGTGTGTGTGTGTTTAAATATTCATCTGTTTCATTTTAGGAAGTTTTCTGTGTTTCAGATCATATGTAATTTGATTTTGATATATCTAGTTATATGTAATTATATGTATGATTTTGATTTATTGAAAACATACAAAATGTTTAAAGAAATTATATTATTATGATGGTAAATCATTGGAAGATGGAAAAAAGAAATGTTGACATCATGTGAATATCCTCAGCTGTAGAAATTTTTGAACAGAACCGTCTACATAGTTTGTGAAAGATACATCAGTTGATTAATAGAAATTTCCAGCAGCGTATAGCAGTCAGTTGTTATATATAAGATAAATAATTGTAACAACACTTTCATCATCAAAAGTTATATTAAGTTTTTAAGTCATGACAGATGCTACTAAAATGGTTATATCATCTTTCAAATATAGATATCTACATTATTCAATCAGGAAATATATATACATGAAACAATGAATTTGAATTAATATCTGCTGCAGTAGATTTTGTTTGTTCTATGTTCCTCCATATGAATAAGTCTGTCAAAGACCCTATTCATTAAATCTCTTAAAATGTGCCTTTGTATATGTACATGTTCATGTAAGTGTGTTAGAGCCTTAGTTTTATGCTTTGAAAACAAATAAAATTATGAAGATTTGTGCATTTGCAAAGCTAAAAAATTAAGATTTTGTTTTTTAGCTATCTTATAATCATTTTTGCTATTTTATTGCTTGTTTAACTAGTCCAATGTTTTATTTGAAACATGATGCAAATAAAAAAAAAAGATTCAATAATGGATTCACATTCATTTTAGAATTATTATAAATGAATGTGTGTAATAAAACATGTTAGTTACTTAGAAACATCAATCATTTCAGGTGGTTCTGCCACTTTGATGATGACAACTATGTCAATGTCCCTAGATTGGTAAAATTGCTCCAGATGTACAACCCCCAGGAAGACTGGTATCTAGGAAAACCCAGCATCCGAGCACCGCTGGAGATACTAAACCGTGAAAAAAATTCTCGTGTATGTGGTAATTAGTAAAATTTATGAGATTAAACTGTAATCTTTAAATTCTTTATTTTTGATAAAAATCCATTAATTCAAATACTTATAACATTGAATTTTTTAAGTTAGAATAGTATCATTCTGTTACTTTCATTTTGATTATTTTTTCATTTAAATATTGGCTTTCTGGTTTGAGAGAATGGATTTAGAAAAAAAAATTGTGATATATTATTTGAGTATAGTATTTGACCTTATTTAAAATTGTAATATATTGATGGCAAAACCAAATACTAGGTTCATTTAAGTGCTTATTTTGTTTGTTTCAAACACTGATCTGAGCTTTAATACAAAATCTTTTTAAGTTCTACTTTTTACCAAAAGTAAATAAATGAATTAGATTGTAAGTAAATTACTGATAATTATGGTAAAACTAAGTTTTTCTTCTTTAGATATATATATATATTTCATCTTTATTTAGCTAACATACACATTTCTGATTTTATGAATATATTTTATGTTTTCTTACTTGTATTGCGATATTATTTTACAGCAAAAAATAGCTTTCTGGTTTGCCACTGGAGGTGCTGGCTTCTGCATCAGTCGTGCATTAGCATTGAAGATGATGCCTTTTGCGAGGTAAGATAAACCATATGGGAGTTATTTAATAATAGATAGGCTTTATGCAGTGAAGTATAGAAGGTATAAAGAGTTGTTTTATAACATGTTTGACACCAACAGCGTTTATGAGGTTGAAATGAATTAGTGAAAAAACAAAGATATTACTAGTAGAAGTAAATTGTACTTCAAAAAAAAAAGTCAAGTTACAAACTAAGATGTTAAAAATAGTCAAATTAATGAAAAAGAAATACACTACATGTACTGATAACTCAAAAATTCAAGACAATTAGGATATGAATAATATGGCCGATGTCCCTTTACTAAAACCAAAACATTCATGTGATAAAAGTGTTTCAGATAGTAAAAAAAAAAAATAGTCCCTCTACTGAACTATTTTTATAAATTTTAAGCACTACGTGTAAGAAGGTGGCACTATGCCTTTCTTAAAAAAATATATTTTATATATTTCCCATTTATTAGATAACAATTCCTTTGTTTTCTAATATTTTCTAATATTTAACAAAAACTTAAATTTTTGAAGAATTTTAAGTTGTTGACATTTTTTTTACTATTTCTCAAGACATGGAATCTTGTTAATGTAAATCAAGTTCAATAAGTTTAGTATGTTGAAGAAAATTGTGTGTGAGTTAGAGCTAATAAAAGACTCTTAGTAGCATAAGAGCAATGTTTTTCAATTACTGTCCCACTTGTGAAATACATTACATGAAGAATATGACAAAAAACACTTTTACATCAGTATCTCCATCTAACAAGCTTGTAAAGTTATGATCTTTGCAAATTAACTTTGAAGAAAGCTATAATACAGCTTGTAAAAGATATGACCTTTCTGACTTAATATGAATAAAACTATGAGAAGCTAATAAAAGATATGCCAAATGTATAACCTACTGAAAGTTTTGAACTTTCCAAGCAAACTATGAGGAAAGATACAATTATCTAGTAAAAGTTATTATCATTCAAAGCTAACCATGAAGAAATGTATAACAAACTAGTAAAGTTATGAACTTTACAAAGAACTATAAACCAATGATGGAAGGTATAACAAGGTTGTAAATGTTATGAAATATCCAAATGAACCACAAAGAAAGGTATAACTATCAAAAGTTGTTAGTTTTTCAAACTAACCATGAAGAAATGTATAACAAACTAGTAAAGTTATGAACTTTACAAAGAACTATAAACCAATGATGGAAGGTATAACAAGGTTGTAAATGTTATGAAATATCCAAATGAACCACAAAGAAAGGTATAACTATCAAAAGTTGTTAGTTTTTCAAACTAACCATGAAGAAAAATATAATAAACTAGCAAAAGTTATGAAGTTTCCAAACTAATTAAAAAGAAAAGTTTAAGAAACTAACAAGAGTTGTGAACACTTCAAACTAACTGTGAAGAAAAGTATAAAAGGCTAGCAAATGTTTGGAAAAACTTCTCAACAAACTACGAACTAATGAAAAGAAAGGTACAATAAGGTACTACAACTTATGAATTTTCAAACTAATGATGAAGAGAGATAGAATAAACTAGCAATATTTATGAACTTTCAATCTCACCATGGAGAAAAGTATAGAGTTAACAAAAACTATGAACTTCCAAACTAAAGGTTTTGGATTTAAAGGGTGCTCTGAGTTGACTGAACAATTTTGAGAATGTAATACAGAGATACATTATCATAAAATTTAAAAAAGGAAATTGATTGAAGAAATATCTTACATTTGGTTTCCCATTATTAGTTTAATAAATTTTGTTATCAAACGTGTAAACCTGGATATGGATCACGTGATAATTTGTACTTGAATCATTTACATGATATATTGATTTTGTAAAAATCAAATATCAAAAACACTTTTGTTTTAAGTGATCAAAAATAAATCATACAATTTTAGACAACTATCTTATAATATTGAATTTAAATTTAGTCACACCTAAAATAGATTTTTCTATGAGAGAATAGTAAATAAAAGCTTTGAGACAAGAATAAAATCAATAATATGGAATATCAATATCATACTTTCCATTATTTATCCCGCAGATCTTGACCTTAAGCAAGAGTGAAAATCAATATGGAACATCATACTTTTTATCATTTACCCTACAAATGTGATTCAAGCAACTAACACTTTAGTATTTTTCATCTTAATAACTGTCACCTTTTAAAAAACAATAGAATAGAAATAAAATAGTACCTAGAAGTACATCGTTTAATGCAGCTTTGTTGTGCAAATCAAAAATTAAATGTCTTGTTATTAACATTTCAGTTAGTTTTGATAGCCATAAAAACAGTCTTTACATTAAAGACATGGTGTATTATGAAATAGTTTATTACATTATCTAATGCCATTTGTTATACTATAATGAAAATATTAAGAATTGGACATTTCATGTGTGGAAAAATAACATGATATATATACACACAGTGTTAACAAGAATGTACTTTAAAAGTTACAGTATTAACAGTTGGACATTTAATGTCTGGAAAATAACAACATGATATATATATATATATATATATATATATATATATACTA